TTAAAAGTGCCTCAGAGATACACCTGGACATGTAAACATTCAAAAGAAATCGCCTAATTCTATTGTGATTCACAAGACTAGTAAATATACTGGATTTAATTTTAAAGTGTTTATTGATTTTATTTAATAGCTGACCATATTCAAGAAGTCAATCAATATATATTTTTATGCCCCCATATCAAAGATTAAGGGGTATATAGTTTTTGCCCTGTCCATCCGTCTGTCTGTCTGTTTGTCCGCAAAAACTGTAACTTTGCTCATAACTTTTGATTGGTTGGAGGTTTGGCTTTCATATTTCACAGGTGTATTCCTTGTGACAAGACCTTTCTTTGGGTATCAGTATATTTGTCCTTTTGACCTTGACCTTGGAGTTTGACCCAATTTTGCAAAATTTTACCAAACTATAACCTTGGCCATAACTTTTGAACAATTTTTCCTAGGGCTTTCATACTTCACATATATAATCCTTGTGACAGGACTTCCTCTTGATACCAACAACTTTGGCCCTTTAACCTTGACCTTTGAGTTTGACCTACTTTTGAAAAACTTTAACCTTGGCCATAATTTTTGAAAAATTGGCGCTAGGGCTTTCATATTTCACATGTGTATTCCTTGTGAGAAGGCCATTCCTTGGGCACCATTAAATTTGACCTTGACCTTGATGTTTGACTTGCTTTTAAAAAATTTTAACCTTTTTCATATCTATTCAATAGTTGCTGCTAGGGTTTTATTTTTCCCAGGTATATTCCTCGAGACATGACCTTACTTAAGGTTCTAACATATTTGATTTGCATTTGAGAAAGTTTAACCTTTGCTATAAGTTGCCATACGGGGGCATCAGTGTTTCACAAACACATTTTGTTTTTTGAGTGGATATTAACATCCCCCCTCTCCATCTTGACTGCACCTCAGGTTGGATTAAAATGAAGTTTTTGTAACAATTAACATAAAGTCTGTTAGTAATAAATTACAATTCAGTCTGAAAAGTCGCCTTTTGCATTGTTGAAATTCATTTTATTTTGTATGTGTGTGTGTGTGTTCTAATATTTATTTTTAACAATAGAGGATTTAATCATTTAATGTAAGTTATTTGATAAGATGTCTTAAAAATCTGATAAATACGTTCACATAATACACATAAGCTTAACATACATAGCTATAGTAGAAAAAATTCTGCTGATTGAAAATATTTATAACACATGCATGCTAGGAAGCAATTTCATTATTATACCTCACACAACAAGTTGCAGGAGGTATGATGTTTTTGACACGTCCGTCAGTCAGTCCATCAGACCTGGGGGGTTTTTGTCAGCCCAACTCCTCAAAAACCGCTGCACAGAATTTGGTCAAACTTTGCAGATATTTAGGACACAATGTGTAGATGTGCATATTACCAGGAAATTCTGATTCCTTTATTTTTTCTGGGAATTTCGGTACTTTTCAACTTAGATTTTTGGCCATATCTTGAATATAGAGATGAACAGTTTGTCAGTGCAAGTCCTCTTAAACGGCTGCACAGAATTTGGTCAAACTCTGCAGATATTTAGGACACAGTGTGTAGATATGCATATTACCAGGAAATTCTGATTCCTCTATTTTTTCTGGGAATTTCGGCATTTTTCAACTTAGATTTTTGGCCATATCTTGAATATAGAGATGAACAGTTTGTCAGTGCCACTCCTCTTAAACCGCTGCACAGAATTTGGTCAAACTTTGCAGATACACATGTATTTAGTACACAGTGTGTAGATGTGCATCTTACCAGGAAATTCTGATTCCATTATTTTTGTCCTAAGAGTTTTGCCTATTAATGAAGAAACTTTCCAGCTAGGTAAAAAGGAAATCCACTGGAATCAGCTTTTGTAATGAAGTTTTATGTGAAATATTTTATGACCTTAAAAGACTCCTATTGATTTTGAGATCAAAATTTAATGATTTAAGACACACATTCACACATAAAATCTTGGATAGTTCTCACCCCCCACCCCCCCCCCCCATATTGGTGCTTTGCCTTAAAAAAATTCATAAGTACAGTATATAAACAAATTCATATGACTACATCATAATTTTGTTTCCATCAGTTATTTAAATGTGTAAATTGTCATGTGTTGGACATGGACTTGCTTTCATTAACAAATCGAAATCACTGAGTAATTCAAATAACAGTTTGTCAGCATAACTCCTGCACTGAATTTCCTGAAACTTTGTAGGTATTTCAGACATAATGTATAGATTTGTATATTACCAAGAAATTTTTATTCCATTATTTATCTAGAAACTTCAGCCTAATTAAATTTGTAACGTACAAAGATTTGAATGTCCTTACATGCAAGAAGTTTTGATGTGATGATTTTTTGCAAGTAATGCCCCTTTTTGAATTATACTGTGTATTTAAAATGCACTGTGCCATTCATTACATGTTGCATTGTCGAGTTTTGGGGGAGTGTGGGGTATGTAAGCTTGCTCAATTTTTCTTTCATTTTGTGGTGGGGGCAATGTACAAAGAAATGATTTGATCAGCAAATAAAAAAAATCATGACATATAATTTATTGTTGAAGGGCTCTATCATATTAGCATTATTTTTAGGTCACCTGAGTTACTCAGGGCTGCGTTCAAGATTGTAGTGGCTAACCTAGCATTTTTTGTAATTATTTTTATTGTCTCATTAATTAATTTGTTAGGGGTGATATCCCGCTTTTGATTTCCTCTCTTGGTAAATGGTACCATTTCTCCATTGGTCATTGATTCGAACAGATTTATGCCGACTCAAAATATTCTTGGTCTAGGTAATTTCTTTCCTCTGTTTTGATAATTTTTTTTTATGATATAGATAATGATGATGGTCATTTTTAGGTCACCTGAGTCACTCAGGTGACCTATTGCTATCTGTTTTCATCCATCGTCGTGTGGGTGTGCGTTGTGCGTAAACTTTTCACATTTTCAACTTCTTCTCAAGAACCACTGGGTCAATTTCTACCAACTTGCCACAAAGTATACTTAGGTAAAGATGACTCAAGTTTGTTCAAAAAAGGGCCAATGCCTTCTTCCAAGGGAAGATAATTAAGAATTAGTGAAAATTAATGGTATCTTTTAAAAATCTTCTTCTCAAGAACCACTGGACCAGGTAAGATGAAACTTATATGGAAACATTCTCAGGTAGTGTAGACTCAAGTTTGATAAAATCATAATTGTAGTGTGAGGCCACAATGGGATCAAAATTTACAAAGAAATAAATTTAAAAAATCTTTAAAAATCTTCTTCTGGGGGTAAGGCAGGGCCACAATGAATGATCAAAGTATTACATTGGAATACATTTGAAAAATGTTCTCCAGATCCACTGGGCCAAGAAAGATGAAATGTGGAAACATCTTTAGATAGTGTAGATTCAAGTTTGTTTAAATCATGATCCCCAGGGGTCAGGTTGGCCACAATGGACAATGAAAGTTTTACATTGGAATATGTAGGAAAAAAATCTTGAAAAAAATTCTTTTCTCAAGAACAGCAAAGCCATGATTGCTTACATCCTCAGATAGTATAGATTCAAGTTTGTTCAAATCATGACTCTGGGGATAGGGTGGGACTACAATGGATGATCAAAGATTTACAAAAGCTTCTGTCAGTTTATTTTATACTCTATGGATTGTTGTTTTATACTCAGGTGACCATTAAGGCCCTTGGGCCTCTTGTTATTTTTAGGGTTCTTACCATATAGTATTGATATAGAGTTGCATCAACCCAATACTAGATATAAACTTATGACTTTTTTTATGTAAAGTCAAACATACGATTTTTTGTGAATAACCAAAATCTTAAGATAACCTTACATCTATGACTGATCGTAAGATATTTTGTGAATAGATATCCTGACTTTTGGGTTGTTTCGAAGACTAAATACAAAGTATATATATATTATACTGGTACATTGTAAATAATCTTGTTTTGAAGTCTTGAAAATATTAAAAATGTGATAAATACAAACTCAGAATAGTTTTTTTTTTTACGGCAAGAATTTGATCTGAAACAGATTGCATATATAAGTATCTGAGATTCAAATATACTGTAACTTAATTAACAAGAGTGTTCCAAGGAACACATGTTTTGCCTGCTTTGTAGCTTCATTAAAGATGTAAAGAAATGTAAGTGTAGTTAGGTATTTATTTATTACTAGTATGATAATTCATGAATGCACAAATAAAACCATCCACACATAGTATAAGACTGCAATTGAGTCTGACAATCAAAGAAAATATGATTCCCAACCCTCAAATGAATAATTAAGTTGTAATTATTATAAATGATTATTTATCATTTTACATGTGTTAATACATGTTTCAAAGTGTCACTCTACATGATCCGTTGTGGGATACGGATCCCGATGTATTTTCATAATATTTAAATATCAGTTTGTGTGGTAACTGAATATCATACAGTTTCAGATGTATTTTCATATTTATATATCAGTTTGTGTGGTAACTGAATATCATACAGTTTCAAAGTACAGTATTATGAGCTCATAAACATGTATAAATACTAATTATCAACACCCCACTCTCAAAATTCAGATGTCTTAAATTAAACTGCCCAGGGTATTTTTGGCAAAGTAGGTTAAAGGTCAAGGTCAAGTGAATTGTAACACTGCTATTTTTCATGAAGTTTTATGACAATCAGTGCACATGCTAAATAGCATAGACTTACCCCTTAAATGTCAAAAATATGCTGTATATTGGCACTTTTAACTTTTTTGTAAAGTATGTCAAAGGTCAAGGGTCACGAGGTCGGTAACCATGGCAATGCACAAATGCCATAGTGCCAAGTGCTCCATGCAAGCGAAATTCTTTATATCAAAGGGAATGTTATGATTTGAGGAATGAGGAAAAGATATATCTTCCTTATAACTGAGATTTCCTTCTATCTGAGTTCCTTGTCAGCTAGTTTTACCATAGATGAATTGAACTTTTTTTTAATAGCCAGTTGTTAATTGAAGCTCATCTTTTTTCAGAGGACTTAATCTGAGGAAATACATAATAAACCCTTACCACGGACCTGTAACATATGATCTGATAGCTGTTAGTAACCACTATGGAGGTCTTGGTGGAGGACATTGTAAGTAATTCCTTATCACTTTTATGACACAACCATGAAATGGGGGGGGGGGATATAGTGTTATAACCCTTAAATCAGTCATTCAATTTGAAAATTTCTATCTTCTGTTTTTTGAACTTTTTTTTTGCTGTGCATGTATTTATTTAATCAATTGTGTATATCATCTGCAATATATGATACTTGAGTAGTATGCATTGTAGTATGCATCCCAAAGTTCAACAACTAAGCAATAAGTAGAAATTCTGATTCCTTGGGAATGAGTTTCCTCCAAAAAAATCTCTTGCATGAGTTATCCAGAAGAAGTAGTCCACCTGCATTACCCTCAGCCTGATTGAAAAGTGTGCAATTTTTATGCCCTACCAAGAATATGGCTGGGGCATATAATCCATCTTCCGTTCTTCCAACTGTCCTTCCCTCATACTTTGCATTTAGCCCAGTTTCAAAGAAACTATGATTCAAGATATAACATTTATCAAATTTCATATGCTGATACATATTGATGAAAGCTGTTCAGCTGAATCAACATTTACATACATTGAGTTTCTCTTTGACCTTGACCTCACTTTTTCTTAAATTATTGTTTAGCTCAATTACAAAGAAACAATTAAAGATATTTTTATCAAACCTTATAAGGTGATTCATACTGATGTGAACTATTTAATTTAACATTTTTATACCCCTGTATCAGGGATTCAGGGGTATATAGTTTTTGCCCTGTCCATCCTTCTGTCTGTTTGTCTGTTAGTCTGTTTGTCCACAAAAACTTAAACTCACCCATAACTTTTGATTGGTTGGAGCTATGGCTTTCATATTTCACATGTGAAATCCTTGTGACAAGACCTTTGGTACCACCATATTTGACCTTTGACCTTGACCTTGGAGTTTTACCCAGTTTTGCAAAGTTTTACCAAACTTTAACCTTGGCCATAACTTTTGAACAATTGGTGCTAGGGCTTTCATACTTCACATGTGTAATCTTTGTGACAAGACCTTTCTTTGAATTCCAACAACTTTGACCTTGACCTAGGAGTTTGACCTACTTTTGAAAAACTTTAACCTTGGCCATAACTGTTGATTGGTTAGTGCTAGGGCTTTTATACTTCACATGTTTAATCCATGTGACAAGTCCTTCCTTTGGATACCAACAACTTTGATGCTTTGACCTTGACCTTGGAGTTTGACATACTTTTAGAAAAGTTTATCCTTGGCCATAACTTTTAAACAGTTGGTGCTAGGGCTTTCATATTTCAAATAAGTAATCCTTGTGACAAGACCTTTCTTTGGATACCAACAACTTTGACCATTTGACCTTGACCTTGGAGTTTGAGCTTCTTTTGGATAAGTTTAACCTTGGCCATAAATTTTGAATGGTTGGTAATAGGGCTTTCTTACTTCACATGTGTAATTCTTGTGACAAGACCTTCCTTTGGATACCAACAACTTTGACCCTTTGAAGTTGAGCTTGGAGTTTGACCTACTTTTGAAAAACTTTAACCATGGCCATAACTTTTGAACGGTTGGTGCTAGGGCTTTCATACTTCACATGTGTAATCCTTGTGATAAGACCTTCTTTTGGATACCAACAATTGTAATCCATTGACCTTGACCTTAGAGTTTGACACACATTTGAAAAACTTTAACCTTAGTCATAACTTTTGAAGGATTGGTCCTTTGGCTTTCATATTTCACCTTGGAGAAGACCTTTTCTTGGGCACCATTAATTTTGACCATTTGACCTTGACCTTGATGTTTGACATACTTTTGAAAAACTCTAACCTTTTCCATATCCATTCAATGGTTGCTGCTAGGGCTTACATATTTCACAGGTATATTCCTCAAAACAAGACCTTACTTTGGGTACCAACATATTTGATTTGCATTGGAGGAAGTTTAAACTTTGCTATAAGTTGCCATAAGGGGGCATCAGTATTTCACAAACACATATTGTTTTACATCAAAGTATCCTTTTACTTTCACTTCACCTTTCTTAAATTTGTGTTAAGTTTAAGTTCAAAGACATTTTTCAAGGTATTTATATCAAACTTTATATGCCAATACATATTCATGAAATTTCAAATGCATCAACATTTTAACCTTGACATTTCCATTGACCTTGACCTTACTTTTTGATATTAGTGATTATCTCAATATCAAAGAATCATTAGATATTTTGATCAAACATTTATACTTAAACATTGATGAGAGCTGTTCATTTGCATCAATTTTTATTTTTACTTTGATCTTTCCTTTACCTTTACACCACTTTTCTTAAAGTTGTGTTTAGCTTAGTTCCAAAGAAAAAAAAATTGTCAAACTTCATTTGCTGGTATATATTGAGGAGATCAAGCTATTCAACTTCATTAACATTTTTTTGCCTTGACCTTGACTTTGGCCTC